ATTGTTACAAGCAATAAATACATAATAAACTATTATGATTTCTAAATAATTTTAATTTTTAACAGTTTTTATGATAACTGTTTGTTAACAATTATTAATTTTATGTCCGATAAGTTTTTACTTAATTTTATCTAAACAKTATCTGAAATATGTTTTGAAAAAAAAATCAATTGAAATGTAATTAAGTAAAATAACTTGACTTCTTAAAATGGAAATTCAATTCTTTGATTTTACGTTAATTAAAAAAAAAAATTAAGTAAGTTGGTAGTTAAATTAACAGAAACTTAAAATTAACTAGTAAAGATAAAACGTTAAAAGCAAATTATTAATTTTATAATGTCCACCTTTGTTCATTTTCCTAAATTTAAAGTAAAAAGTAATGCTTAAAGCCCTTTTCTTTACTGTGTACAGAATTAATACAATTTCCAAAATTAATTACAGTGAAATCTCTTAACACTCTCAGTCATTGAAATGTTGTTGGCTATTCAGAGAGCATAGATGGCAGTTTGTCCACAAGAAAACATCTGTTATTTAGAGGTGTATGTCAGGAGAGGTTTCACTGTATATAATATGTAAAAAAATTCAAGTTGAACATATGAAATTTAGAATTTAAAAATGTTTAAGTTTTTGAAATAGTAATGGCTTATAATAATAGACACATATTATAAACATTTATATTATATGGTTACACACAATTGTTGATTAATAAAAAGAAATATTTTTATACCTAATAAAATAAAAAAAAAATTATAAATGTTTTTGATTAAGACATTAAATTGTATTATGTTTTAAAAATAATTATTTATACTTAAAATATATAATATAAAATCTAAAAAATTATCCCAATACAAAACCATTATATCTCTGATTCATATCTTAGATACTTATCATTGATACTGCCAAACCCTGAATAAAAACTTAATATAAAGATAATTAAATCATTAGTACCTATATAGTAAATTCATACTTTAAAGTATTTCATTGTACAAGTTTTTGTAGAGAAAAAAAATATTTAAAAATTAAGGATCTACTAAGATATAATATATAATATATGTAAATTTATTTATTTCATTAATTTAAATTATTTGTGATAAATTGTYRTTTAATATGAAAAAGAAAATTTTTTGATTTTAAGTGTAGAATTAAACCTTAATACCTTTCTAATTAAAGATTTTCTTAAGAATAAACACACAGACTAAAAAAAGTTAAGAACACATATTATAAATTCTAATTAATTTTAATCCAAAGAACAGTATTTTCTGATGCAACTACTATCGCTTTAACATCTTCAAAATCCATGATGTCAAACATAGTTATTAGGCCAATTTCCAATTGTTTTTCAAATAATATATTCTTATCTTTTAGACTAATTAAATCATCCATACAGTGCAAACGATATGCCAATAAAAAACCATTAATAGTTCCAATAAACAAAATGTTTGTATACAAGTATACTGCAGAAGCTCCAGCATGTTTTTTCTTTAGCCATGAACGAACCATTATACATGAATCCTTATGAATGCCGTGAATTAAAATGCTATTAATCTGATTACGACTGATTATCAACCCATGAACTACTGATGTAAACAAAATGCAACTTAAATGAGGGCAGAAGTGGCCTTTGGTAATTTTTGAATCAATATTTGAATGCCATTCGTACCATGTTTCTCGGACCCAACAGCATGTATTTGTATAAAAGTTCATGTCAACATCAACAAGATTTCCAGTATATTTTTTTTTCTTTCCATCATGCTCTCCTTTTTTTGTATTATGCAAAGGGCACACGTTTGAATGATTTTCGTGGCAATCGATGAAAATATTATCTTCCCCAGTTTCTTGATTTGTTTCAGGTCTAGGATTTAACACTACAAGTGTGTTTATTTTGCAAGCTTCCATATCAATATTTATAAGATCATAGTTTCCTGTGTTCTGGTTTTTTGTAATTGAAAATAAATACATAAAATTTGAAAATACAATCATGACATTATTTTTATGACAAATAATTTTAACTGTTCCATCATGACCCAAAAAATCGTGTTGTCCTATAAGGGATAATTTAAAAACAGGATTTTGCCAATAAAGCCAATTTTTATATGCGGTTTCATAATGATTGTCTGAAAGCAAATCAAATGGAATCTTGTTATCAAGCTGTTTAGTGAACAGATCAATTAAATATTTCTTTGGTATTTCAAGATGGCAAATTTTTTTCCATTGTTTATTAAAACGAAGTGCATTATTAGTAATATCATGACATGTCTTTGACAACTGTTTAAATTTAAACAAAGTATCACAATCAAAATAACAAACAATTTTTTCCATCAATTCAGGCGGTAGACAAACCTCATGAACGTTTTCTACTTGATTGACTTGTTTAGGAATATCAACACTATAACAAAATCAAATAAAATATGTTAAAAAATAGTAAGTCATCGGTTATCTATAATATATTTTTTCTAAAAATAAATATGTATAGGTTAAATACTAAATCAAATTAATTTAAATACAAGTATTTTTTTGTTATTAATATGAATATATTTTACAATCTATTTAATTTTTACATAAATTGTTGGTAAATGGATAGATGGTTAATGAAATTTATGTTCACCATTTATATTAAACTCATYTTTTGGAATTATTTAGGAATTATTGAGGATAATATTAATATGAAAAGACAAGAGGATTGTGAAGGTTTTAAAGTTTGTTTTATTTTTGAACCATTGAAATCAAGATCAAGGATTTAGCTGAACCCCCCATAGTTGGATTTCTTTAGTCGCTTGAAGAGTAACTCACACGAAAGAGTTTTATTTAAAAAATTAACACGTTGACTGCCGGCTGCYGCCGTCCATATAAAAATAATTAGGTATTGATAATTTTTAGACTGCCGGCTACCGCACCATATAATTCGTAGGAAGCTATACGGCCGCGGGCTGCCGTAAATTAATTTGGATTTATATTATTAACTTTTCCGTGGCCCTACAATAACGATCTTTAAAATACGCTGTGGCGTAGTGGGAATAATTGCAATTTTTTTGATGAAATAAACATAATTTTAACATCTTTTTTTGTATCTTTAATTTTTTTTCAAATTCAAAAGTATATATACAAATAAAAATTTATAATGACACTGAAAATTGTCTTTGGCGTACCCATGATAAATATTCTTGAGGCTGCCGGCGGCCACATGGCAGTCAACGTGTTAATATGTGTAAATGTAAGAAGTAATCTTAATTATTAAGAGGATGTCAACTAACTAAACTTGRGTTAAACAGAACGCAACTCAAATACTAACATAGTATTAGAGTAAACTGGTCTATTATAAAACTTTAAGAGGATGTCACACCCCCATGCAATGTCTGTGTCTTACAAATGTAGAACATAGCAAAAACTGTACTTGCACAGGACATAGATAAAGTTCTTACCTATGCAGTGTGGAATTATGATAATTCTACTATAAATACTAAGGGAGAACAGTTGTACTGCATAAGTACAGTTTTTACCACATTCTACATTTGTAAGACGCGTATGATGCTGGTGGTTGTGGCATCCTCTAAGTTAAAATTATTATGTTCTTAAATTGMATTTTTATCACATCTAAATTGTTAAGAGATATGATCATTTTTGAATTCAAACATTTGAATATTCATAACTCACATAAAAATTTAAATATTTAAAAAAATCTAATTCAAGATCACAGATAATATTCTTTTAAGTTTTATGATGATCATTCATTCTAATAGTAACTTTCAATATAAAATTGGATGTTGCTATGTTCTCAAAGAGAAAACAAATGGTGTGGTGACATCCTCTTAAAGGCAGTAATTGAAAGCTGTTAGTATGGATAAGTGGGTTAATTCACAGTTCATATGGCAGGTCTAGCGTGCAATATTCAACTAAAACTTTTTAGCTCACTGAAGTTTTAAATTTCTATAGGATTTTAACAAAGAATCAGCACATTCGGCAAAAGAAATTGTTCCTTATTTAGCTTCACAAGAAAATCTGATAGGATGTATTGATTTATTTTATGATAACTTTTTCAGTACCTAGGTAGGTGTATTTATAGTTGTTTTTTTTATAAACACATTTAGAAATTATCCAATACTCTGTATTTCATCTTCTACACATGACCTAAATAAAACCATTTTCAACTAATATACTACAACTTTTCAAGTAAAAACATGCAATTAACTTTTAAATATAAATTTATAAGCAATAACATATTATATCTTAATACACAAAACATTGTATTATTATCATTTTAAAAAAGCGGGAAAGTGGATTTCGCTATGCCGTACAGTAGGTTACAAGTGGGTTACTGTAATGGATGGAATTAAATTTGAAACCAATGATATTTTATCAGTGTATACGAAAATTGATTCTGAGCGGAAACGGTTTATCTGTCTAGGATATATTATAGATTATTAAAAATTTTCAAATCTTAGATTTAAAAAGAAAAACTTTTATGAATTTCTTTCTAAGATAATTTGAACATTGACGTAATTTTTACGTATTTAGTCAAAATTTAAACTTTAAATTCTTATAAAAAAAAATTGTGTCCATGTATTTTTAATATTTTTCAACTGCTATTGTTGCAATGTGTTAGATGTTAGAAGCTTTTTCTCCCCAACAAATAAATTTTTATAGATATTAATTTAAAAAAAACTAATAATGATCGAAAATTTCAAATACCTATGAATAGTTCAACTTAAGTCAAAAATATTTGAAATGAATGTTGATGTCATTATAAATGAATTAAATAGTGATATATAGGTAGTAGGAAGTAGGATTATAGTATTACAAATAGTTATAAAATTTATATAATTATAATAGGTAGGTACTACACTAAACATTTGAATAATTTTATTTTTATTTTAATAACTAAATTTTTATTGTAAACAATGTTAGAAATTACAATGTTAATACTTAGTGCTAAAAAAATTCTGAAATTTAAATCACTATATTGTAATTTTTTTTGCAGTTACAATCTTAACAACTTAACCATGGGTTTTATTACAAATTAAATCAATAACTTCTTCATTATTAATATTTTCAAGTAAGTTTTTTTAAACTGAAATTAAAAGATATGTGTTTAATTTTGGCTAAGAAAGACAATTGTTCAAGTGGTAAAATATATAATTAAGTTATAAACTTGCATACGTATACACAACTATAAATTATTGTACAGTATACACTGATAGACAATAGCTGCGCTGAATGTTGGGTGCATTATTGAATGGAATGCTCGACACAGTAACATTATGTAGTTATTCGGACATACTCATAGTTATCAACCATAAATTTGGATTGATATTATTATTACTATAATGAAAGACTAGACTATTTTTGGTCAAAGATAATAACATTATCTTAACATTAACTTTTTAATATTTACATTTACATGATACCCAAAAGTTTCTAGGTAGGTAACTAGCCGGTTCAATACCATCTAGGTAGGTTAGTATCAGAATTGCTTACAATAGGAAGAGAAAGGTTTTTGGTGTGATAGCACGACAATGGCTTGGTCGGAGCATGAATGTATTTTAATTTTTAACTCGTTTAAATAAATACCATAATCAACATAGGAACCACATTTGACAGGGAGTTTAAAATATATTTATTATCACAATTATAATTTAATAATTAAAGTAATAATACAACAAAGCTAAGCACAATAGTATTAAATGCCTATTTACGAAGACTATTTACCCAGATGTTATATTCAATGATGAAAGAGAAATGGTGTGCGCTGGATCCACGTCGTCACTCCAAGCTGGACAAATTGAATCATTCATTTTGAATTTTTGACAAATAACAATCTAGATCATGTACACAATACGAAAAAAATCAAACTAGTTGTACACAACTCACGCTTGAACATTTCTCAGTTGTAACTTGTAGAAATGTAATGTAGAATGTTGGAACAGTGCGAATGCCGATTAGCCTAATTTCTTATCAGTTATCATGTCAACAATCGTAAATTTTTGTTTACGTAAAATTTCATGGAGTAATAACATTCATCTTATTGTACAGTACATTTATCTTTCGCGGTAGTTACGAAATATTAAGATTTATTACTCGAAATTATCAGCAAATATATATGTGTAAACTACTTTAAAGCTAAAAAATACTTAAAGCTATTTAGAATTACTCGGACGACGCTGCTGGTCATCCAAACACTGTTCGTGTGTGCTATAGGTACACTTTTACTCCTACCATATTACAGCAGAGCGATTTTCCAATTTTTTTTTTTTACAAATTCATATATTATTAACTTGAATTATATACATTGGCCAGCTGTAAACAAGTTCCAACTATAAATTGTAGTAAGTTTATTTAACTTAAACAAATAATAATTAAATCAGTAACACAATCAAAAAAAAAACTATTAAAAGTGATAAGATGCCACGTCTTAAGCAGATTAATATTATAAGTGCTAAGTGTCAGTGCCGAACTACACATTACAGAGCTAGTGCAAATTTTAATTGGGGATCTTAATATAATTTTAAAAATGAATTCATCTACTGCTTATAAAATATGATGGCTGCCTTTATAGTATGGAAGTTTAATATAATAAGGAATATTATGAAAATTATTAAATTGTTTAAATAATGATTGTGATATATAATTACATTTATTTTTAATTATCTATAAATAATATATATCTTCTTACTATTTATTGTTGGAAACTAATTTTGTTGATGTTAGCACCAGTCAGACTTCGATATTCCACGTTGACAAATTAACATATTTTTATATACTTGTATCTATATTTATTTTACTTTGCAATGGAAAATCTTGAAATAATTCAAATGTTCAGAGAAAAAAAATAAACTATTATATTGTACTGATGGGTAAAAATTCTCTTTCCATACATTTTTAAATGGTTATGTTCACATGTTGTCGTGTTAAAAACGTTTTTCCAAGTGTTATTTTAAAATGAAAGAAAATAGTTTCATTTTAAAATGCTTTAAATTATGAACACAACAACGTTTTAAATCGTCAAAAACTCGATAAAAAATTGAAGCGTTAAGCTTTTGATGTGTCATGTGAATATTTAGTTAGTATCTACTCATGTAGACACTAAGAAATAATACTCTTAGATTCTTAGTACTATAAAATATTAATTATAAATTATAATTATAATTATAATTTATAATGAATATAATTGCAGAAACGGGGCTTATATAGGCAATTTTATATACGTACTCGAACATTTCTTTCCTRCTGCATCCATTCATTGTCAATTCTTCTATATTTTAATTAGTGGCAGATAGTATAAATAACCCGTGTTTTCTACAAATTTCGATTTTTATGTTAACAAGCCACATTAAGCCACAGATTAGTCAACTACCCTGATCGGAATTCGGAACTAATGTGAAATGAGTATTGATTATAAARTATTATAGTATGATATAACGTAATATGTACCTCCTAGTATTTAAAAAATTCAGGTTCTGGCCGTCTGTAGTCTAATCCACTAATCTATCCATGTCCAGTCCTTTATATTATATTATAGTTCATGATATCAGCTGCCGGCCGATATTTGAAATAAATAATTAATTTCAATATTATTAATTTAATTATTTTTGACTATTGTAATTGAGGTTTCAATGCAACAATCAGATTACTCCATTTTCATGAATTTTTCAGTAGAGAGTAAAACCCGTTCGACAACTCCGGAGTTATCTCTTTATTGCACCAAATTTATGGATTTGACACAACCAGATAACTCTAGAGTGATCTATTTATTGCATTTAAACTCGAAATCAGATAATTATTCCATATTTCGTTTATTAAATAACGAATAAATACGTTTGTTGCACTAATTTGTGTATATTATTTTCCTAATCATATCAATAAATAAAAAGATTTTGCTAAAAATTGGAGTAATCTGGTTGTTGCATTGGACCCTTCAATTAATAATTACCAACTAATTTATCAGAATTTAAAGTTATTGTTGAAAAATACAAATCGCAATGGTATATCAATAGGCGTGGATCTAGAAATTTTAAATGAGGTAGTGGAGAGAAAAAGTTTATCATAAAAATAGTGTATTATATTTTAATTTTAATACATAATAAGTTATATACGGGACATTAAGCAGGCTCGACCGATTCCATTTTTTCAACAATATTGCAGTTGTTTAAAATCTGATTTTTGAAATTTTKAAATATTATAATTAAAGACCACATTTTCAAATTATTAAAATTTGTTTTACTATTAAGAGTGTACAACCTTCTGTTTTTCAAATAGGATATAAAAAACTTCTCGTAGTTCGTATAAATTTTGAATTGGGTACAATTAGATAATTGATAGTGATTGTGATTGAAGAAATTTTATAATTATTATCTGGTTATTGGTATAACAATAAATGTAAACACTGTGTATGAATATATTTTTGTTTATTTTAAAAACAATTTGTTGATCATAAATTTTAAGTTTTCAATTATTATAATAAATTATAAATTGTTAAAAATCTATTGTTTTTTTAAACTCAAATGAGATTGTGTCTAATTCCATTGATTATTTATAACTTATAACTATAGTTAAGAGCTCTTATAAATAAAACATTAAAGTAAACTTCAACTGTCGATATTTATAAAATTAATATAATAATATTTTAACCATTTTATTTGAAAAACAATGGAATTATCTCACATTTAAGACTTAAATAATTAAACAAAAGATAAAAAAAAAAATTTCAGTTATTAATGCCAATGAACTTCACTTGCATGAGTTATTTGACCAAGTTTGACGAACCTTGTTAAATTGTTTTGAGCAGTTGATTGGATATTATTTGATTGTGGCTGTGGCAATTTTCCATCACGTTTTAATACCCCAACACATTTCCAGGTATCTACTGTTGCTAAATATATATATATATACATACATTATAATAATTTTAAATTAATTTATTATAATCTTGTTGAACTAAATTTTGAACTAGGTATCATTTTTATTATAAATTGACTTCTTAAAACTTACATTTCCAAAGTCTCACATGTCCATCATCGCCAGATGATGCTAAAACAGTACCAGTTATATTCCATGCAACACGCCAGACCGTACTTAAATGATCATTAAATTTAGCTGCAGTTTCAATAGTAAAGGGGAAACCTYTTGTAGCATTACTATGTAAAAAGTATTATTACTATTATTATTGGAAATCAAATATTTTTTTCAACAGTAACATTATAGCGTTAGTACTTACACAATTGGTTTGATTTTTAATATGTGAACATTATTTGTAGCTATTGCTAACAAATGAAATGATCGTCCTAGATTAGGTGCAAACATAATATCATGCACTGGATGTGTTACAGAAATTACAGAACTAGTGTTAACCAATCGACGAGAACCACGGACTTCATTGTATCCACAGATAAATACTTTACTATTTGTAGTATTGGAATTGTCATCACTACCAACAACTATCATTAAATTCGGCATTATACTGCTATAAAAAAATGTTCAATATTGTTAAGTAATTTATATTATATAACCTATATAAGATTATTACGTTGATAATACAGGGTTCCATGTGAGACAGCTACTTGGCGCTTTTAATGATAATTCATGTTGCAATTGCCATTCAACAAGATTTATTGGATCTGGAGCTTTATAAATGCGTATGATTCCGTCAGCAGAGCATGTTGCTAAAACGAATCCAAAAGATATTGGACCAAACTTAACATCAGTTACAGAAGTGCGGGAATCAACTAAGCTTGCTCTACGCATCCAATCCCGCAATAATGTTTCATTTTCATTACTTTTTCCCGCTACAAATAATCAATTTTTAATAACATTCAGTTTATCTAAATTATTATTAAAATCAATTTAACACACAATTTGAAATCATAACTGTTTCCATACTCACAGACTTTTTCTTCTTCCCAAATTGCTGCAGTACGGTCAAAGGAACATGTTGCTATAACTTGACCAAAATCTGGATGTGCCCAAGTCACTTTCCAAACAGATCCACTATGGGCCTTCCAACTAGCTGTCAAATTCCAATTACCATTTTTATCTTGGTCCCAAATCTATATTCAAAACATTAAATTTAAAATACACAATTTTCAAATGTTAACAGAATAAAAAATTACACTTACTTTAACTAATTGATCTGTAGAACATGTTGCCATTCTATCTCCATAGTAGTCAAATGCAACATCGTGTATTAAGTCTTTGTGCTCCGTATTAATACTGTGTGCCTCAGCCATATTTCAAATTTATTATACCCCTATTATAGAAGCTTAAATTATTCTATATTACTTGCAGCGTAAAAGTAAATGGCGTATTGATAATGTTGAAATTCTCAAACGCTATAAACTCGACATTTTTTTATTGCGTAAGATTATGATAAAATCTTTTAGGTTATGTACGATAAATATGTAAAATTTGTAATCTCTTTGGCGTCCAATTGACAGTTTCATAGCTAGTACATAGATGTCGGTGTAGATACACAAGTTTAAATTTATTTTGAAAGAACATGCGTGGATTTTTGCATGGATAATGAAGTAATGGATGGATGGGCCATTCCTAAATATTATGCACAGAGCGTTCCGTAATGGAAGAGAACTTATGTTACCAAAGTGGTTAGAAAGTGATCACAATATGGTTACTACTGTTACTAGGCGATTCATAATGATAAATAATAATATTTTATTATCATCAATAATAAATATTAAATAATTATTTTAATAAAACATAATAGTTATTTAATTAATTGTATATACTTGTAACAACTTCGTGAAACTATGCATTACGTAATAATATGTTATTTTATATTTTTCATATACGATAAAAAATCAGAACTTTAAATAAATAAAAAATAAAATATATCTAACTCATTGGTTTAAAAATAGCACAAGCTTAGTGTATTTGGACCTAATTGTTATTTTATAATTTTTCTTTTTTTAACTCATATTGTGCACAATACTATATTGTTGTAGCATGTTAATTAAACTTTTTAATAAAATTATACATTCCACAATATTAACTTAAATGATATAGCTATTAATCATAATTTAATTTCAAGGTAATTAATTTTCACAAATTCTCAAAAAAATATTAATTTTAAAGTAGGGTAACTTGTATAGTTATTGGCATTCCAAACTTCTTTTATTAATAAATAATGCCGTGTTAGATTTTAAATTATTGGTCACACTGTCCTATTTATATTTGAGCCAAATGTTATTATTGTTCTGTGACTGATAAGATACAACATTTTAATCGAAAACCGTTGATGAAGAAGACGTCAAAAAAGGTAAGATATTACTTAAAATCGTGATAGAGTACTGTTAAGAAATAAGCATTTAGTGATTTAGTCGTATATAAATGATCGCAAATAGTAATGTTTAGTTGATTCTGAATCCTAAAAACATTTACAGCTTACTTATATGATTTTAAATACTTTCATATTTTTCATTTAAATAATATAATAGATGACAATAACTATATTGTATATTTATATTTGGTTAATTATTGGCATGGGGTGCCAATAACAGAATTTGTGTAATTTATATATAATTAATAATTAAAAAATATTTTTAAAATCTCCAAGTCGTGTAGAAAAGCTGAAAGAAATGTATCCAAATTTGAGTCTTCCACCAGAACCAATAATTACTAGATGTGGGTGGGGGACATGGTTGAATGCAGTCAAATACTATTGCGATAACTTTGAAAAAATAAAATATGTTGTATCAACGTTGGATTCTATTTCAGCAGTTTCTATTCAAAAAGCGAAACATTTATTAAATATGGATGATATTAAAAATAATTTAATTTATATATCTGTTAATTTTGGATTTTTAGAAGATACAATAAAACAACTAGAAACAAGAAAAATGACKTTAGTTCAAAGTTTAGGACTTATAGAAGAAGCTGAAAAATGCATAGAACAAGTACAAGGACCCTTGGGAGTTGCAGTAATAGAAAAAATGCACAGCGTATTACATAAAAATTCGATAAAGACGATTTGCCTGGTTAATATTTTTATTAATTATCAATGAAAATTATAAAAATTTATTTAATTTATTTGATTTATTTTGGGAATTGATTGGTATAAAGCATTTCTCCGGCGTAATCCAGTAATTTCTATAAGAACTAGTGAACATGTATGCAGATACATGTTATATTGCCTGTGCTTATGTTAGTGAGCTGTTTATTAGGAAGTGGTTCACCGATATTTACCMATATTTAAATGATGAGAATTTGGATAATATTTTAAAAGATCCACGCAGGGTTTTTAATGGAGATGAATCAGGGTTTTCCTTGTGCCCCAAAACACAGTCTGTTCTTGGTTCAAAAGGAGCCAAGGATGTGTATGAAGTCGCAACTGGTAATGCTAAAGAGAATTTAACGGTAATGTTYACATTTAACACAGCTGGAGAAACATGTCATCCAATGGTAATATTTAATTACAAAAGAATACCACAAAATATTATCAATTCTGTGCCTGCCAATTGGGGTATTGGACGTTCAGATTCAGGATGGATGGTGTCTGAGGTGTTTTATGAATTTGTGGCAAATGTGTTCACCCATTTCTTATTCAAAGTGGTATAGAATTTCCTGTAATATTATTTGTAGACGGTCATAAAAGCCATCTTACTTACCATCTAAATAACTTATGCAATAATTTAAAAATTATTTTAATTGCTCTTTACCCAAATGCAACCAGAATACTACAACCAGCGGATGTAGCAGCATTTAGACCACTAAAGGGAGGGTGGAAAAAGGGTGTATTTGAATGGCGCCATGAAAATCCTCATTAMGCGATTACTAAAAAAGATTTTGCCCCTATTTTACAAAAAGTGATACATAAAACAATAAGACCAGAATTTTAATGAATGGTTTTAAGGCAYGTGGTCTATTTCCATGGAATCCAGATCAAATTGACTTTAGAAAATATCTTGGAAAAAAAGAATTAATTTCAACAGAAAAAAATATGATTATTGACACTGCAGACTATAATAATCTAGAATATAATAATTTTACTGATATTGTTGGTTCAGAAATAAAAATAATGGAAAAGTGTTCAGGATGTTATTGAAAAAGAAAACCATCCTGAAGAGTTTTATGTGCTTTATAGGTTATATGAAAAATTAAAGAAACATACTAAAAATGATGATGTAGAAAAAAATGCAACTTCTTTATTGAATAATAGTGATTACTGATTATACTTCAGAAGATATTGATCACTATTTAAACGAGAATATAGAAACCTTAGAAAGGGTTGAAATATAAATATAACTGATAATGATATTCAAAATACAACTATCAACTATAATATTACTCCATCATCAAATAGAGTTATGGAAATTCAAGAAGAAAATTACCAACCTTTTACTTTTATAAAGAAAATGAATCTGTTTCCTTTAGAAACTTGTTTAGTTTGGCCTATAACACCAGAGCATAAAGGTAAATGTGACATAGAAAGGGTACCATTTGTTATAACATCCCAAAAGTGGAAAAATTTGTATAAAGAAAAGGCAAATAAAAAAAAGAATATTGAAGAGGAAAAAGAAAAAGCTGAAATATGATGATAAACAAAACAAACTAACAAATAAAATAAATCAAAAACATAATTCACAAGCTCAAAAACGACMAATTGTAAGAAATCTGTTTTTAGAACCATCAGTTTAAAAAAAACCAGTAGAAATCATWACAAGTCAATCTATTGAGCTTGTAATTGAAAAATATAAGAAGAGTAATGCAATAAAGGTATATGAAAATGATAATTCACCACTTTCATCAAAAACTACTGGTAAATGTTTCCAATGTAATGGCACTATAAGCAGTAGTGATATAGCCGATATAGGATTTGAGTGTACATTTTGTAATAATAAGTACCACAATAGGTGTACTAACAAAGATGATAATTGTGATTTGCTTTCTAATGATGATAACATACTATTTATTTGCTACATGTGTGAAAAAGAGGTAAACATGATTTAGACAATGCTTGGTTGGTATCTATTATAAATTTTATTTAACTATATTTTTAATTTTGTTTTTAACTTAGTCTTAGACAATTATTATTAAAGAATGACCAATTGTATATTATATAATCAATTGTTATTTTATCTTTTTTTTTTATTAAGTATTTAAGTACTATCTAAGAGACTGATGGCTATAAGTTCTAGTCACATACCTAATATTCATTTGATTTATAACTACATACCTAGGTAGGTACTTATTATATTTTTTATTRATTTAATTACATTTTAACAGTTGTCTTTTATTATTATTTTAATAGTTATGTATTTTCTTTAATGGCTGTAGGTTTAAGTTACACATTAATGATAATTTAAAGATATTATGTTGTATGGTATATATTTATAAATTTTATAATTTTATTTGCATTATTGTTTTTGTTATATAAAGTATTGTCTTTGATACTGATGGCTATAAGCTCTAGTCACATGCATAATATTAATTTGATTTATAACTACATACTTATTATATTTTTTGTTAATTTAATTATATTTTAACAGCTGTCTTTTATTTTTATTTTTATTGTTATTAATATGTGATATTTGTTAATTACACCTTTAGGTATACCTATTTGTATTGTTTTTATTAATATATTTTTAACTGAAGAGCAGTTATACTTATTGATACATTATATACCTACCAGACTTATATACTTTTCAATAAAAATTGAATTATGTATAAGGACACATTGTATAAATTGTACATTATACATTTATACCAATATATTTTTAAATGGTCTTAAATCAAGGAATAAGATGGAGGCTAATTTATTAATTTAAAACATGTACCTACCTACCTATATGGCTAATATTGGCTATGRCCAATTGAAGAAAATTAATTTAAAAATCATGTGCCAATTACTTTGTTTGTTAATGCCAACTTTACAACCAATAGTGCCAATAACTATATTTTAGTGCTATTCTAGTTGAATATATAAACAAAAATTTTTTGGTTAAATATAGCTTATTTTTTATTAAACATGTCAATAGATAACAACATTTTGAATGTATTGATAATATTAAGTTAGTTGAATCTTTGATTGGTAGGATGTAGGACTGGTATACAAATGAGGTTTTTCTTAATGTGCCAATAACTAGACAAGTTACCCTACCAGTTTTTAATTCAAGAAATAATTCTTCCATTTAAATTAATCATATCTAAATCTAAATGGCAGGCAAATGTCCATGCATTTGCATATGTTTTTCAATAATAATAAAAGTTGCAG